ATGACCATGACTAAAAGTCATCTCTTAGTCTAGTTTTTTTTTATTGGGAAAAGTCCCTTCGCCAAGAATCAACAATTATTTTCCAAAAGATCTCCACCGAACCAAGCAAAATCATCAAAAAATTATTAGCAATTAAATAAATAAAAAAATAATTAGAATTATGACAAAAAATTAAATAAAAAGAGAGGATCACATGCAGAAAGGGGGAGAACGGCAGAGCAGATACGCACAAGAGCATGACTATGACTAAAAGTCATCTCTTAGTCTAGTTTTTTTTATTGGGAAAAGTCGGTCGTGCCTTCGCCAAGAATCAACAATTATTTTCCAAAAGATCTCCACAAAACCAAGCAAAATCATCAAAATGATTATTAGCAATTAAATAAATAAATAAAAAACAATTAGAATTAGGACAAAATAATTATGACAAAAAATTAAATAAAAAGAGAGGATCACACGCAGAAAGGGGTAGAACGACCAGAGCAGATACGCACAAGAGCAAGAGACTGGCAAACTCATAGATTGCGCATGAGCAAATCGACAAAGAAGATTTTCCCTCCCACTATGACTTTATTTTTCTCTATTGTTCTTTGTTATTTGATTATGGAGTAGATACTTTTCTGGTTTGAGGGATGATAATGTTTTGGTTCTTATGTTTTGGAGATTCTTGACTTTCTTTATAAAAGTTCTTTTTAATTATCAACATTTGTCTATTTTTAAAAATAACATTTGTGATTGTAAGATTGATTTGATATTTTGGTCTCAATATTTAAATTAGTCTGATAATCTAAAGTCAATTCAGGTAGGATATTCGTAATTGTATTCGCGCTTGAATATGTGACAATCGGGTTGAATAGTCCCTTCCCGGGGGTTAGGCAATCAAATCTAATTTCTACTCTTAGGTAGTTGTAGACACTAAAAATATATGTCTAAAATCAATTAAATATCATGTATTTTGGAAGAAAATAAAATTTCAATAAAATAATATATGATATTTAATTATGCACATAAGTTAGTTTTTGTACAATAAATATCAACCATAAGGCAAAAATATGCTTAAAATGGAAGATATCGTACAAATATTACGTGCATAAATAGAGCCATAATAAATTTGGCAGCAAAATAAATTAATCTTGTCAATAAATGAAGTACATAAATTAATATCTTCCGAATAAGGACAATGATATAAACATCTTGACGAGAAAGGAAGGTGCACAATCAAATCCGTCGAGAATGGAAAGGAGCATCTGATGGAAAATGAAAGATTATAAAATCTTCCTATTGACCAATCAAAACGTGCCACGTGGCACCATTAAAAAAGGAAGCCGAAGCCACCCATCCCTCTAAATAGGAGTCATGGTTAGTTCATTTGAGACACCAAAGTTGCATCGAGGATTCAAGCAAATGGGTAAGTCTCTAGACTCTCTCTGTATTGTTCTTCATGTTTTTCGTGTCCTTCGAAGCGTTCTTCGCCGAAAGTCACTAATTTGGACAAATGATCCAATATTGGTTGACAAATCGATGAATTTAACGTTTTTCGTCGTATGTCCAAGCCGGATGAAGGATCAAAGCTCTCAAAGCCGTCGAGGAATTCGTCAAAGCCAAGGGAAGGTCTTCAAAGTTCTTCTCAAAACTTCGAGGTGTTCATCGCGTTCTTCATAAAAGGCGCAAACTCGGCCCTTTTCGATCCAAAAGTCAAAGGGACACGCCGCCAAAAGCGTTACGGAGCACCAAATCTACCTCCTCAAAGATCAAAGTTGCGGATCGTCGAAAGAAGACATCAAATCCAAAGCCGACGATCGAATCGCCCACCCGGAGACCGAAGCTCTCCAAAAGGCGGAAAAGGCAAACCAAAGATCAAAGTTGCGGATCGTCTAAAGAAGACATCAAATCCAAAGCCGACGATCGAATCGCCCACGCGGAGACCAAAGTCCTCCATAAGCGGCAAATCCAAAGCAAAGGTCAAAGTCGCGGATCGTCTAAAGAAGACAACAAATCCAAAGACGATGATCAAATCGCGAACACGGAGACCAAAGTCCTCCAAAAGCGACAAAGCCAATGCAAAGGTCAAAGTCGCGGATCGTCTAAAGAAGACAACAAATCCAAAGACGATGATCAAATCGCGAACACGGAGACCAAAGTCCTCCAAAAGCGGCAAAGCCAAAGCAAAGATCAAAGCCTCGGATCGTCTAAAGAAGACAACAAATCCAAAGCCGATGATCAAATCGCTTATGCGGAGACCAAAGTCCTCCAAAAGGCAGCAAAGCCAAATCAAATATTAAAGTCTCGGATCGTCTAAAAAAAAGACATCAAATCCAAAGCCGACGATCAAATCGTCCGCACGGAGACCAAAGCTCTCCAAAAGCAGGCAAAGTCAAACTGAAACCAAACCTCTTCGGATCAAAGAAGCCATCGAAAACTAAATTGGAAAACAAATCGACCCAGAAGGAGAATCAAATGACCCATTTAGAGAATAGGACCTGCTTTAAATTCAAATCAAATATAATTTGTACAAATTTTTGTGTTTATTAAAAATAACACAATTTTTTGTCCACTAGTGATTGTTTTGAATTGGATTTTTCTAGATTAGAATACGATTAGACAATATTTCCTATGGGAGTAGCTAGATTTATTAGCTTAATTAGGGATAGTTAACGGTCATACCTTAATTACCTACACTGTAAGAAAAAATTGGTTGTCAGATCTTGTTGATAACTATAACCAATTTATTGATACTTTAATAAAAATTAACTTTATTGAATTAATGATAAAACACAAGTGTCATAACTACATCATCCCTTGAGCCAGACATCCCTTTGATAGCTAGTTCTCCGTTAATTTAATTGTTTTGTTATCTTCATTAGTTAATAAAAGAAAATTCCCCTTTTTTACTTACTGTGAAAGAGTGAATCACACAATCCCTGTGGAGACGATCCCTTCTTCTGTATTACATTACATTGTGATCACAGAATATGTGAAATATTTGATTAACCGCGCAACAGGTAAGACATTATTGATTTTTTATATTATTTATTTATTTTTATTAATATAATGTTCTAATATGAATTTTATAATTTTTAAAATGTAATTTTTATGATAAGTAAAGATAAGTAATTGTTATTAAGTATGAATGAAAAATATAACTTTACACTGATACAAATTTTTTTTAATAAAATATCTTTTATTTTATGCATTTTTAATAAAATACAATAGTATATAATACTATTTTGAAAACACAAGTATTATGCATTTAGAAATATCATTATATATTTAATATTACTATAATTTAAAAATATTGTTGTTATGTACAAAAAATAATAATAATGATAATGGTAGCAGGATCTTAAAGAAGAATGATCGGCCGATACAGAGGTCGGACAGGACAAGGTCAGGCACGGAAGATCGGACGTAATAAGGTCAGACACGGAGGTCGGACAGGACAAGATCGGGCACAGAGATCGGACGTGATAAGGTCAGCAAAGAAGAAGTATCGGCAGACGCGGAGGTCTGTCAAGACGAAGGTCGGGCAAAGAAGAAGTATCGGCAAATGCGGAGGTCTGTCAAGACGAAGGTCGGGCAAAGAAGAAGTATCGGCAGATGCGGAGGTCTGTCAAGATGAAGGTCGGGCAAAGAAGAAGTATCGGCAGATGCGGAGGTCTGTCAAGAGGATAGTCTGTTGAACCAGTTGTCCATCTAAGGAGATAAGGCAAACAGAGCTGGTCGGTTGGTTCGTTGTCGGATGATTCGCTGTCGGTTGGTTCGCCATCGGTTGGTTCGCAGTCGGTTGGTCCGCCGTCGGTTGGTTCGCTGTCGGTTGGTTCGCCATCGGTTGGTCTGCCGTCGGTTGGTTCGCTGTCGGATGGTTTGTAGTCGGTTGGGCCGATCGGATGGTCCATAGTCGGTTGGACCGCGGTCGGACCAAATGAGGTCGGACGGAGGACGGCTGATACGGAGGTTGGTCTAAAGAGGAAGTCGGGCGAAGAAGGACGGCTGATACGGCGGTCGGTCGAAAGAGGAAGTCGGGCGAAGAAGGACGGTTATTACGCAGGTCGGACCAAGTGAGGTCGGGCGAAGAAGAATGAGACGGACGATACGAGGTCGGACAAGAGACCAGATGGTGGTCGCTTGGTGGGGCGGCCAAGGATTCGTTTGGTCTAGCGATCAGTTAGTCTCTGAATTGGTCGGTTGGGTTATGCGGTTGGTGAGACGGTTAAAGACACGTGTCAATGAAGGAGGAATTGGTGGGCGGTTGCTGTAACCAACCAGACGACGGTTCTGAAACGTTTTCTTGAAGGAATATTTAAGGATTTGGATTTATTCTTGAAAGGCATCTTCAATCGACATCAAATTCAAAAGAATTGCCGTTGGGGATCACCACTTAATTTTTCAGTCTCTAGTTTTATTTTTCTATTTTATTTATGTATCCTACAATGTCTAGATTCTTAATCTCAAGCATTTATTTTATCAAATTCGAAGATAATTTCTATTTTCAAATTTTACTTTTTATTGTTGAAAAATTGCATCAACAATTGCGAATAGACATGATTTATGGATTTATTTATTTATTTATTATTATTATTTTTTAATGAGATTGATTCGGAATAGCTTTACATTTGACAAAATAAAAATAAAGATTCTATTTTTGTTTTTATTTATTGCATTATCTCGTGTCGTGTCGCGTATCCTTTGAAGCTCAGCCTTTTCCGAAAGATGGAAGATCGCAGTCGATAAATCCAATGCAAGCAAGCGGGGAATGGGACTCCCGTTGGAATGCCTAAGAAAGTAAAGGTAAAAGGTCAACCCCTCAGTCAGTCAGTCTTGTTGTATAGATTGAATTGATGATCAACATTCAACACAACCAAGAGCCATAGGATCAGCACCAGACGATCCTACTTCCTACTTACTGTGCGACAAGAACATAACATATATAGTTGAGACTTGAGAAGCTAAACCTGAAAAGATGAAACAGAGTTACACCCCACATTTGCCAGGTAAATGGTTTGAGGAACGACCATGGGCTCGATTTAACCTGCTCCACACGAGGCCCGACTCCATGTAAGGCTGCGTAAAGTAAGCAATCTTACTAGGATAAGAAGATGTCGCTGAAGAATCGAGCAGGCAGAGAAGAAAGCCAATCTGTAGTAGGAGTAGGAGTAGGAGTAGGGATACTGCAGCGTGGGATCGGTGGAGGCGCCAAATGATAAGAGCGGCACATGAAGTTCGTTGAAGATGGGAGAGATGGAATGGGCAATGACATCTTTCCCCATCACCTGCATAGATATCTAGCTACACAAACAAGGATGCCCTGTCGAAAAATCAATTATGTAAAAAGTTTCAGGAACAAAGGCAATTGTTCCATGGCAGACTCACTCACTCACTCGACGAGGGTATCATCAACTTTACCTTCAACACTGGCCAAAAATCCACTGCACTTACTGTCCTGCTGCAACATGAGATTGAGCTTTGTGTCCTTAAGAATGATGGTGTCCGAATTCACATCATCGATAGCAGCCGGCAAGGCCGGCCTCCCAATGGCCGAATCCAATGTGAACAAAGCCCCAACATTCACCACTCTCGGCCCACGAAAACCATTGCTGCCACCGGAATCCCCTGTCTCAGCCACAACCATTGCAAACCCAACCCCACATGAAACATAAATAACACCAAAACTCCCCTCATAGATACAACAAAGCCCTCCCCTCCATGGCTAACCTACCACCAATACATAACCACTCAACAGCAATTCATCCAACACCTGGTGGGCAAACCTCAATAGCCCATATTACAGGCAAGCTTAAACAATGGAAGAAGATGCTACTACAACCATGGAAATGGAAATGGAATGGAAGTGTAAATGGTGACCTCACAGACCCCAAATTTCACTGCCAAAGCAGAAAACTACAAAAATTTCGATACCATCCAAAACACAAGTCTTAATACTTAATACTATTACATTCACAGTAACAAGCTGAACCACAGCAGCAATGCGGAAACAATTTATATCCACATTGAAAGAATATCTCATCATCAACCATTTACTCAAATATATATATATATATATATAACTGAAACTTGTTGGTTGGGGTGAATGTACAAAGTAAATGTGGTCAAAATTGACAATCTCAAGCTTGAACACTAGAATGAAAACAATGACAGACAGCAAGGAGTGGGTTAAAAAAGGCTAGATTGCAAGCTAGGACAAGAATGATTCTTTGTCGCCTGATTTCACTTACTACACATTACTTTTGGTGGAAGTGAGGGAGAGAGATTTCGCTTGTGGAATGGTTACTTTTAACTCACTGCCTGTCAAAGAAACCAATTGCAATAATACATACATATATTGTGTATTTGGACGATACACAGTACATTCTTTCAGGATATGTCGGCAGTGAGTTAACAATGGGAGAAAATAAAGCCAAATTCAACTCAAGAAAGGTCAATCAAAACAACATAAGGAAAAAAAATAAGAAAGATATTAAATTATTATTATTGGGGAGAAACAAAAAGTTAAACTACACACAACCGTATGGATCTTCATCAATGGCGACCAGCATCAATCATCATCAGCCAACATGTTAGAAAACATGAAATCCCATAAGAAAACAACATGCTGACAATTAATACCACAAAGAAAGACTCCACTCCACAGATCACAAACAATCCACACCACGCCAAGCCTGTTAGTGCAATGCAACTACCAAACAAACCGGAGCCATGTTTATTTACTCTATAGACAAAAGGAGGGCCACATAGATATACGTGCATACATACATAGCTCACGCAGACAAGTAGCGACTCATCCAAGATCTGAATCGAGTCCAAGCAAGCTCAACTGCAGAATCATCTTCAGCATCCATTCCCATGGTCTTCCTCCTCTGCACTCCCTCGGGCGACTGGTTCATGAATGCATGTCCAACTTTAGGATAAAAGTATACTTCATGGGGAACTCTCGAGGCTTTCAGCTTCTCTTCTAAAGCTTTCCCAGTCTGCATGCATATTTTAAATTGTTGTTGACACATACATATTATGAACAAGGTATATATACTCCCTCTATCCGCAGTCAATGTATTCAAGTTTCCCACAATCAATATGTCCATATTTTAATTTAGTAAATGTGATCCCTACACAATAATAAGGTTTGTTTCCTTTTAGTTTTGTCCATTTTTTTACTCTTCAGACTATATTTTCCAATAAAGATACATTTTATCATTTCACAAAACATCATTTCAAACATTATTTAAATAAAAAAATCAAACCTCCAAACCAAATCCAAATTAAAAAGAACCAGATCCAAAATTATCATTACAGTTCAACTTAAAAATTAACAACATACCACTATCTTATTTTAATCTTATTTTACCATTTATCAATTGTACTTCCACAGGCATTTTAGTTAGTACACCCTTAAACACTATCTACCGAACATAAAATGTTAATATTTCTTAAACTATGTAGCAAAAGTAAATGAATATATAGTGGACAATGGGGAGCATATCCATATCTTTTTGTCGTACCTGTATGTCTGAGAATCCAGCAATCTTATCGAGTTCGCCAAAGTGAGCCTGCACAGGTGTTTTGGCATTTGCAGGATCCGCAAGCTGTGGCGAAGGGACACCATAGAAGCCAACAACAGCATCGACCCCAGGAACCAAGACAGAACTCGCAATTGCAAGAGCACCGCCCATGCAGTATCCCGTCACACCAACCTATTTCAGCAAATTTCATCAGCGCATTGAAATAAAAAATATCAAAGTGCATCTCCATATGTACAGAGTTAACAAAATAAAATCAGAGAAAAGTTTTCTAGAAATAAAAACTTATGCAGTGGGACGTAACACCAATCTTTTTTAGCATATTCCATAACGGCATTGAAGGGAAAAACATCAAATTACATCTCCATATATACAAAGTTAACAAAATAAAATCAGAGAACAGTTTTCTAGAAATAAAAACTGATGCAGTGGGACGTCACACCAATCTATTTTAGCAAATAGATTATAGAAGGGAAAAAATAAACTCAAACTCTGTTTTTTTAGCAACTTTTTTCTATTTGGTTACTATGGAATCCCACCATTTTAAAAAACATAGTATAACTACACATTCTTATAAACCATCATATCAAACCACGATGCAAACACAAAACACAAACACAGCCAAAAAAAAAAAAAAAAAAAAAAAAAAATCAAATTGCATCACCATATATTATACAAAGTCAACAAATTAAAATAGGAGAACATGAACTTCTTTAGATATAAAAACGGGTGCAAAAGGGCATGCTTGAAATACAAATTCTTCAACTTCAGACAATACATAGAGAAGAGCCTATCGTGCCAACCCCCAACAAATGTTGTATGCTATAACAAAAAAGAAAAGCTGGGGAGGACTTGGGTGGAAGAAAAAAGAATTAGCAACACTCTAATTATATTGCAGAAGGTTTTTTGTGCATTACAACTCACTTACTACCAATCATCAAGAAAAAAGAGAAGTTTGGGATGTGAGCAAATCACCAACCTTGTTCGAACCATTTGCCTTGAGCCAATTGACGGAAGCTTCAATATCCTTGACGGCGCCGGGCCAATCAAGACCGTCCATTAAATGTTGTGCTTCTGCAGCATCCAAGCCGACCTTACCACGGTACAAGCTGATTTCATTCGCAAGAAACATTATTAGATTGGATATATTCAAATAATAATAAAGGTAAAATTGCTCGTAACTCCTACGTGGTTTCAAGATTCAACCTAAAATCTCCTTATACTTTAAAAATTGCTCTTATACTTTAAAAAACGTTACATGAAACTCCACCGTCATGAAACTTCCTTGTGTGATGAGAAGATGATTTCCTATCTATATTTTTTTCATGCAAGGAGTTTCATGCAACATTTTCTAAAACATAAGGGAGCATGCAATTTTTTAAAGTAGAGTGAAGATTTGCGCTAAATTTCAAAACCACATAGAGGCTTCATGCAACATATTTTAAGTATAAGAGGTGATATACAATTTTCAAAGTAAAGGGAATGTACGGTAAGTTTTGAAACCACCGGAGAGTTACGGACAATTTTGTCAATATTAAATAAAAACCTAATATAAACCATAATCAAGATATCTAAAATATCCAACATTCCTCTTCAAAATCAAATGATGTTATATAAACCAGGGTTAGAGTCATAAGCAACTCTCAATGCAATTACAGTCACACATTTATAATTGGAAGCAAAGTCTAAAAATAATAGAATAATAACAATTAATGTAAATAATAGAAACCTAATGTAAATTATAACTCAAATATGTAAATATGTCAGCAATAAGAAATGCATATGATATGACAGGAATAAGTGCAGAGCCCCGAAAGGTAAAGTTTGTTGCCTATTCTTACTCTGGAATCAATGTCTTGTAGCCCGAATCAAACTGCGAAATCTTCTGAGCATGATTCTTGATCTCATAGTCAACACCCCACCATTCCTGAAGGACGACAATACCAGGAGCGTTCTCTTTCCCGATCACGTAGGCATCAAATTTCTGTGCCCATGAATTCACACACCCAATGGCAAATCAAAGTCGAATAAAGTTAATCATAGCAAAACCGGAAAAGGGCATGGAATTGCATCAAGTAAGTATTTACTGTTAAACATTACCCACAATCACAAAACGGAAAGTTTAATGTAGAAAAACAGAAAATGAAATGAAGCAATGGTTTTTTACGGTACCGTGTCGCCTCTGTGAATCTCAATCTTCTTGAATGGGGAAGCGGCAGCAGAGTGGGTTGCCATGGCTCGAGGTGGAGTGAGGAAGTGAGGGGAACGGGTTGCTCTAGCGAGACATGAAGCGGAATGGAGGAGGAGGCGGAGGCGGAGGCTTCCCGTGAACATGGATGGGATGGGATGGGAATGGTATGGGTTGGGATCGTCGGTCCAAATTCACCCAATTTAACCGGTTCACCCGATCAAAACTAAGCGCATATGGACTTATTTGTTTATATTTTTTTTATTTGATTAAAAATTAAAATCTAATTAATTTACCAAATATTTACACAATAGTCCCTGTAATAATTTATTTTTTACCTATCTTACTATTTCATAAACTCTCAATTTATCTTCTTTCTCTGCGCCTTCCTGTCCAATTTATGGTAGATTATATTTTATTGAATTTTTTGAAAATAATATATATTTATATATCTTAGATGTATTTTTATGAATTCTTTTTTTGTAATTTATTATTTAAATGTTTTGGAGATAATATATATTTATATATTTATCTTGTTGCGCTTTTATAAAAATCTCTATTTGCATTATTTTAGTTTATAATGAGAAATCAATTTGCTACTTTGGTATGATATTTTTTTTGTTTACAGTATAGCTTTATTTACCTCTCTCGTTGACTCAAAAATGCTTTGTTCGTGTTGAACACCAGTAAGAACGTGGATTTCATATACCAAATACAATCTGAGAACTTTCTATTGGTGCTTTATGGTTAAGAATGTGTATATGAATTGGTTTGTGTGTGATAGTTTTGTATTGTGCTTTATGTTTGTGAATGTATATAATTGGGATGTGTGATAATTTTGTAATGTGTTTTATGGTTGACACTGTAAGTAATTGGATTGTGCGTAAAAAATTTGTATTGTATTTAATAGTTAAACATGTATGTAAATTGGTTTTAGTGCAATAATTTTGTATTGTGTTTTATGGTTGTGAATGTATATAATTGGGTTGTGTGTGATAATCTTGTAATGTGTTTTATGGTTGACACGATATCTAATTGGATTGTGTATAAATGTGTATAAAAATTTTATTTTGTAACTTATTGTTAAACATGTATGTAAATTGGTTTGTGTGTGAATGTCAAGCTAGTCCAACTTTCGACCAACCAAAAGATGATTGTCCACAGGTACAACAGACAGTCATAGACGAACAGGGGCTTTCGTTTCCCACAAGCCTTACTCGGCTTCTGTTCGGGAGGGGGGGCGCTAGACCATTGATTTTAGCTTCCGGACTTTTGAAATTCAAACCTACAAGCTCTTCACTTTTTGAATTATGTGGTGTGGGATTTTGTCTATATTTTTTGTTAACCGCTAGCTTTTTATTCTAATTTATTTGGAACTTTGGTTTGGAACTTTTGTTAGGATATTTTGTCTTCGCCTTTTGACTTGATTTCCTGGGAATGCCCAGAGTAATGGTATATAAAACTCATTATTTATTTATTATTATGATGATGATTATGATATATCTCATTCATCAATTCCCCACCAAATAATAAAATTTAAGTTCTCATTATTGTTATAAAACCCTACTTACAATCAATCATTTCTCATTTTGTTTGACATGTGATGTGTATTAGTTGCAATTTCCAACAAGTATATATGAATAATTGAATTTGAGCAGAAGTTATATACTGAAGCTTAAGAAAACCAAGAATACTTTACAAAATAGGCTATGACACAATATGTATTCTTCTTTCTCTGCATCCTGTCCCAATGAACAAAACTTTGTTTTGTAAGTAGTTGATAGTTTGATTATTTCACCCTTATACTTCACTGTACATATTCCATCTATATAGAACTACATGTCTCCACCCACTTATAAATATATAGTTTAATAATATTGAATAGTAATTCATAACAAGAAGGCTAACTAATAAATAAAATATTTTTGCAAGTTTTAAAGTTAATGGCAATTATAAATCTAATAGAAGTAGATACATATTTGTAAAACAAGATTTCTTCAAAAAAGCTAGTGGCAGAAAAGTCAGAATTAAATATTAAAATGCCATGTAATATGTTTACATAATCCCTTAGTGTTAAAGATGGACAAATAAAATCTGATCTCTTATTCTCAGTTCGAAGCACCATATAATTCGATATCTGAACTCAGGTACTACATATGATGATAATCACTGCTTTCACCACCGATACGCGATGACTGAACCTACGTCAATGAACGATAAAATGGTTAAATAAAAAAGGTAGTAAATTAATTCATTTTTAATGGAAACACATATCATCATAAAAAGATACCTCAAGCAACTTGGTGAATTTCATTGAATAAGATGGTTCACTGTGGTAAAGAGATGATATGTTTGGTATTGAATTAACTACTGTGATATAAGAAAGTTGGAAAAAAAATATAAAAATATTACAAATCAAATATGAATTTTTTTTTTCCAAACAAAGCAAGAGCAAATAATTTTTTTATAAAAGTTTTGAAATAAAATTGAACTTGTGAAGGGATCTGATAAGGTTGCAATGGAATGCTATCAGGTAAATATGCCTCATTAATGCTTGTCTGCAGAGCAAATAAATTTAGCATAATCTTTTTTGAGTAAATAAAGACTTTGACATTATAGTAAATAGTCCGTACCTGGGTTTCTGTTAAATATTCATGTCCTCGAACTTCAGATTGTTTTTTCTTCCTTACCGTGTTTTTTTCCAATGCACTTTTTGGCCTTTTACCCGAACATATCTTTGCCTTGTTCTTTATACCTTTCACATAAGTATTTTCTTCTTTATTCATACCAGCATTATCAATCTCCTTCATAGATGATGAATGCTCTTTTCGGCGATATAGTTGTTCACTCACTTTTTCAGCCGTCCTCAACACTGTATCTCTAGTAAACTCATATGATTCCTTGCTTTCTGAAGCCATTGATGTCAGTTTGTTGCATAATAGACTCAAATCCTTATAGTGGAAACTTAACTTTTTTTTTTCGGTCATCCGTAACGTGGTCATCGCAATGCATTCCACTATGCGAAACACCTATCCTTGTATTTTTTGTCCACCTCTTTAATATATATTGACCGGGGATCTTAAAAACTTCATTTTTGGTGAGACTTTTTAGTCCATGAGAACATAATATCCCAGAAAAATCAAATTTCTTGCAGCTGCATGCAATTGTCCCATCTAATGAATCATATTTGACAAAGTGGTACCTCGAAGTCTCAAGATAGCTAACCTGATATTCTGTAATGCTTTCATGTGTTCTAGTAACAACACTTACACAATCATACGCTTTCCCCAATTCCTTCTGAAAAATTTTAAATACTTTTGGGGTATACACACTCGCGGCGTGTCTTAAGAGCTGAGTTGGCATTGAGAGAATAGGTGCACTGGTACTTGCTTTAAAATCGGCCTGCAACTGTGCATATCGACGAGATTCGATCAGATTTTCAAACTTATCAAAAAATAGCCTCAAATTTTTCTTTGAACTGACATATCTCTTAACGACACTATTAATACTTTCACTGTGTTGTGTCGTAATATCAACACAAAAGAATTGACGACCATATACCAAAACCCATTTTTCTTTCACTTTAAATAACTTTCTCAACCATGCATTTTCCATCAAATTATATTGCACCAAAATTTTATTCCATTCATGCAAAAACTCACCCTCTTCATCAAAATCGTAAATACATCTCCGAAAATCATGCGCAAAGTTTTTATGCTCAAAGAAGACACCACTCAAATGTGTGGCAGCATTTTGATAAATATGTCAAATACATAGCCTACAAAACAAAACAAATTACGGAATTATTCTACGAAAAAGTATCTATATGTTACAAAAGTAAAACTTTATGTTTATTAAACTATTTATGCATAATAAAAAACCTGTGATGAGTCTCAGGCCACCTCGAAGGCAATGCATTTGCCATTTCTTGATCTTGATCTGTCAAAATGGTAGTCGGTTTTCTTCCATACATAGTGCTAGCGAATGTGTCAAATAACCACTGAAATGAGGGAATAGTCTCGTCGTATAAAAGTGCTGCACCAAAAACCACTGTTTTTTTGTGGTAATTAACACCAACAAACAATGCCAACGGAGGATTTTCCCTAATCTTTCTATACGTAGTGTTGAAAGAAACTACATCTCCAAAATCAATATAATCTGCTCGCATTCTCCCATCAGCCCAAAATATGTTTGTAATCATACCATCTTCATCCACTTGAATAGAATACGAGAAATTTGAGTCTCTACTTTGCATCCCTTGCAAATATTCTAACACCCCTTCAGTATCTCCCACCTCCATGTACTTTGTCCTCTTCGATCGCAAGTAATTTTTAATGTCTTGCCTTGTAAATCCCAAGTTATCCCGACTACTGGCTTCCTTAACCATTAAATCATGTGAGACTTTTGGAGCAAGTCCCACATGTTCGGCTATTTCAATCTATGCAGCATGGACCTCGTCTATCCTCTTATGCGATGGGATAAAATGAGTCTTCTGAGGACTAGTGAGCTGATGAGTGTGTTGAGAAATAAACTCAAACACTTCGTATTTCTTATTATCTTTCAATCGAATTCTCATCATTGCCTTACACCCGAATCTTGTTATTGCCCGAGGAGCTCTTATATTATTATTTCTTTTATCTTCCCCCCTTGTACCTTCGGCACTGCAAGAAAACATTCTAAATTTTATCCTTCCTGTTCGATCTCCATGCATTTTATGCCTTTTTATGCCAAAACCTGTTTTCCTGGCATATGCTAAGTAAAACTGATAAGCGTCTTCTTCATTGTCAAATTCCTTTCCAATCTGAGGTTTGCTTCGATAGAAATATGATGATTATATGGTTGATCATCATTTTCCATATTCGTAAAGTCCAATCTACGTGAAGAAGAAGATTTATTTATGTCTGACTCGTCAATCTCCATTATCTGTAATTTAAAAATTCAAACAAACATCATTTAAAAATTCAGCCAACATCATTTAAAAAAGACTAATAATTTATCACAACAAAAAACTAAAATATCAACCGATCCACTTTTGCACAAAATGCCAATAAAAATCAATAATAATCCATAGAGAAGATGGGGTGAACAAATTCGACTGAAATAACACTACTACAGAAATTTAGAGAAAAGTAAAGTCTTAACTTCAAAATTCTATGGACTTTATTAAAGATCAAATACAAGACTACATT